CTTTGTAGGTGGTGTCCCGTCACCCCACAGTTAGTGTAAGAGAGCTCTGTAGAAATGGTCTGAACTAGTCCCACACTGCAGAGGGAAGCTTTAAAACTCACCCTGAGCCTTTGAGAAGGACTTTGTGAGGGGTGTGCTTGCAGGGTTGTATGTAGCAGAATACATACAAGTACTTAGGTAGGTTAGGTAGATCGAAGCAGGACTCCAGCAAAGAATATCCACTGTTCACACTGAATAAAGTAGCTGCTTTCTTAATCTGCATTTGAGGTTTGTATGGGTTGTTTATACAGAGCAGATATGGATCTCTTTGTAAGCACCAGCCATCCAGCAGCCCACAAACTAGGAGAATTTTCATTTATGTGTCAGCGGCCCCCAAGCAGCAGTTATTAGTCAGAGCACTAGCCCCTTCACTATCATGTGCTTTTGGCGCAAACTGAGGAAAAAAACCAAAATGTGGGGGAAATAGCAGCTGGGATTAGATCCAAGCTTTTCTGTGAAACTATACTTCAATGGAGGCAAGTGGGGTGACAGTTAGTAGGGCACTGAATGACTGACGTGTTGCAGTGTGCAGGTGTATACATCCTGCCAGCAGGAACACAGATCTTAGCCACTAGACTGGGTACACCCACTGCAAACAAACTTTCAGCATGTGCCTCAGTGGTGGTTTTAGAGGTCCTGTGGTTACGCTGAGGAATGCCACATCTCTGTTCTCACCTTACCATCTCTCCTGGCCCCAGGGGACAGGACCAAGTTACCAGTGATCCTTCTGATGTAAAATTAGTATTGTTAGCTTACTTAGACTGGCCTCACATTAAACTTGGCTTTAGGTTTCCAACTTAAAAAATTCAGTGGAATTCCTCGATAAATTAGTGACATCAACATCTCTTTGTGTATCTACATAGAGCTCTGAGAGAGAGAATTACTATATATGTATGTGTGTGTCTAAAAAAAATATTATGTATATGTACTCTGTGCACATGTTTTTTTCACAGGGAAAATTATTAGTTTCCATAATCAGGGTGCACAATTCCATCATGCAGTAAAAAGATTTTATTATTACCTAAACCATCTTTTTTTTTTCTGCTTTCTCTTCAGTCTCCAGGATTTAAGTGTTGTTTGTGTTCTGCTGCTGATAGCAGAGCTTTGGGAAGCACGTGATGAGGAACAGAATAAACAAGTACACACTTTACTTGCTGATCCTGGGCAGTTGTCACAGCTTTAAAAAGTGTCAGATAAACACCTGAATGAAGAGTGCTTTGATACCTGAGGCAGCACTGAAATCACATCCTCACCCCCTGTGATAGCAGTAACTAAGGGTAAATACTCATCCTGAATAATTTTCTGTCTGCTTTTCTTCAGCCCGCCTCTTCTTCAGAAATATTAAAACTCATTTGTAAGTTAAAAAATAACTTGGATTTTCTTGGCAGGAGTCTTCTTAACTCTTCTCTATGTCCTAATGTAATTCACAGAATGTTCTTAATAAAGTTTTGTACCAGCACAGTGGGAGGGTGTGGATCAGGGGTGAAAATGAGAAGAGGGTGCAGGAGTTGTTTACATCAAGGAGTAAAAAAAGTTCATGAGACAGGAGAGATATAAAGGGGGTTAGATAGAAGGGTCTAATACTTAAAGTGACCTAAAGCCCAGTTTTCATATCCTTATCATTTAATGTAATCACACATTTCTTTTAATTGCTAATTTTTGCTCTCATTGGCCAATGACTGCTAGATTCACAGTGAATTTCTGATCTCCTTTGGCAGTGTCAAATGAGATCTAGCCCCAGAAAACCTAGAGGATGGATGGCTATAGAAGCCCAGAAGTGTCAGAATCACAGAATCGTTGGGTAGGAAGGGACCCCAGGAGATCATTCAGTCAAACCCCCCATCCAAGGCACAGTCAGCTACAGCAAGTTACACATTGACTTGTTCAAATGGATTTTGAATGTCTTCACAGAGGAGGACTCCTGGACAACCTGGTCCAGTGCTCTGCCACCCTCGGTGTAAAGAAATTCTTCCTCATGCTGAGGTGGAATGTCCTGTGTTTTAGTTTATGGCCATTGGTCCTTGTCCAGTCACTGGGCAACACTGAAAAAACTCTGGCACCATCCTCTTGGCACCCACCTTTGAGATATTTACGTGTGTTAATGAGATCCCCTCTCAGTGTTTTCTACCCCAGACTAAACAGGCCCAGTTCCTGCAGTCTCTCCTCATAAGAGAGATCCTCCAGACCCCAAATTATCTTTGTGACCTTCTGCTGGACCTTGTCCAGTAGCTCCTTGTGTCTCTTTTACTGAGGAGCCCAGAACTGGACACAGCACTCCAGGTGTGGCCTCACCAGGGCTGAGTAGGGACACAACTCCCTCCATGACCTTCTGGCCATGCTCTTTCTGATGCACCCCAGGAACCCTTGGACCTCCTGGCCACAGGGGCACTGCCAGCTCATGGATGGCTTGTGATGCACCAGGATCCCAGGTCCTTCTCCACAGAGCTGCTCTGTAGGAACAGCCCCTGGCTGTGCTGGCACTTGGGGCTGTTCCTGCCCAGGTGCAGGACCCTACACCTGCCCTCGTGGAGCTCATTAAGCTTCTCTCTGCCCAGCTCTCCAGCCTAGCAAGGTCCCACAGAATGGCAGCAGAGCCTTCAGGTGGATCACCACTCCCTCAGTTTAGTGCCATCAGCAAACTTGCTGAGGGTACATTCCACCCCTTCATCTGGGTCATTGATAAACAAGTTGAACAAGACTGGTTCCAGTATTGATCCCTGAGAATGTCACTGGCTGTTGGTCTCCAGGTGGCTTCTGTTCTGCTGGTCATGACCCACTGACCTCTGCCCTTCAGCCAGTTCTCCATCCACCTCACCATCCATTCCTTTAACCCACATTTCCTGAGCTTACCTGCCAGGATGTTATGGGAAACAGTGTCAAAAGCCTTGCTGAGGTCTAGGCAGACAACTGCATCCACTGCTCTCCCCTCACTGGCCCATCCTGCCATGCCACCACAGAAGTTTATCAGATCGGTAAAGCATGAGTTCCCCTTGGTGGATCCATGGTGACTACTCCCAATGACCTTATTGTCCTCTACATGCCTGGGCATGACCTCCAGAATGGGCTGTTCCATTCCCTTTTCAGGTATGGAGGTGAGGCTGACAGGACATACCTTCCCAGGTCCTCCTTCTTGTCCTTTTGGAGATGGCAGTAATGTTGACTTTGCTCCAGTCATGGGGCACCTCTGCTGCTCTCCATGCTTTTTTGCACAGATAATGGAGGTTGGCTTATCAACATCTGCCAGCTCCCTGGGCTCCCATGGGTGCATCCCATCAGAGCCCATGGATTTATGCATGTTAAGTCTCTGTAGCTGATCTCTAACCCAACCCTCTGTGATCAGGGTGAAGTCTTCCTTTCTCCAGCCTTCCTGTCTTTCCTCTGAGGTCTGGGAGTCCTCAGGGCTGGCCTTGCCAGTAAAGACTGGGACAAAGAAGGCATTCAGTAATTCTGCCTTCTCTGTGTCTTCCATCACCAGGACACCCATCTGATTCAGCAGTGGCCCCACATTTTCCCAATCTTCCTTTTGCTGCTGACAAACTTGTAGAAGCCCTTTCAGTTGCCCTTACCAGATCCAATGCCAAGGGGGTCTTGGTCTTCCTCATCTCATCCCTGTATGCTCTGATGATGTTCCTATAGTCCTCCCACAGGGCCTGGTTCTTTTATCACATCCCAGAAATTTATTTCTAGAAACTCTATGATCATCCATGCGGATCTACTGTCCCCTTTGCCTGATTTCCTGCTCATAGGGCTACACTGATCTTGAGCTTGGAGGAAGTGATACTTGAATATTGACCCGCTCTCTTGGCCCTCCTTATCTTCTAGAGCCTTATCCCATGTGATTCTTCTAAGTAGGTCTTTGAAGAGGTCCAAGGTGACTCTCAGGAAGGTCATGCACGATCCTGATTCCCTCCCTAGGACAACAGGCCAATGTGTATGTCTCAAACAGCAGTACCCAGATAGTTGTGGAGCCAACCAAGGATTGCTGGTAACAACAACCAGTGATTGTTGGTAACACACACCGTGAGAAAGAACAGGGTGTGGCTGGAGAAGGTGGCCATACAGAAGTAGGGCAGCACCTTTCCAGGACAAACATCCTTGCTGTAACTCTTGGAGATAAGGACAACAGAGTGCAAGCACCAGAATGGGACTGAGAAGGGAGCATGCATGGACTATAGCGAGGGATCAAGACCACCCAAGACACCTGAAGCCCTCTGATTCATTTACAGAAAGGTCTGAAAGAACTGACTGTGCATGATGACAGATTTGTACAGAAAACGAGAAAGTTGTATTCATGGCAGGGGAAAAAGGTATCCTCACAAAGCCCAGGCACATGTGCACCGCTTGTCCCTGGACTTCCCATCAGCTGGAGCCACGCTGGAAGTAGGACTCTCTGTGTCTCTCTTGCCTCCCCACTACTCTTTAAATCACCTCTCTCTCTCTCTGTCCCTCTCTCTTCTTTTGTGTCTCTCTCCTTGCCTCCTGCTCTCTCCCCTTTTGCCCTACCTCTTTATCCAAACCTCACTGCTGTGTGTGTGTTCTAGGAGATCAGGGACTAACTTGTACCAATTTTCATGCCAAGTGTGGAATTTACTAATAAGCTTTTGTAAGCTTCTGCAGACCATCTGACTTTTGTTGCTCTCTTTGACCACAAGCATCTACAAAACTTGAGTGTTCCCTTCCACTTAAGGACAGGACAACACTGTGACTAGTGATGGCAATATAACATGTAAAGGGGCAAGCTTCAATCTGAAATAAGAACCTTTCAAAATAAGAGAAAATTGAGGTATAACTGTGTCTTTGTATCCTCTTCCAGAGGACAATGGATCAACAGAATAGGCATGATTTGGGTGTCACATTCATGGTTTATTATAATTTGTGCTTTGAAAGGTGTGTGTAAATAACACATTATATTTCCTGTTCTTGTGAGAAATTAAATATCCTGGCAATGCTGCAGCCTTTTCATCTCTATTAATTACCCAAAATTTATATAATTCGCAGCTAAAAAATATTGTTTCAGACAGCATAAGACTTTTGCTCTTCTTAGGCCTGTCAAGATAAAAAGCATGTGCAAGAAAGTCTCTGACAGAAAATCCAGATAATGACATTGCAAATATTGATGCAGAAATCCCGTTGCAAACAATGCCATCCATGTAATGTTAGATGTAAAATTTCAGATCAAATGGGAATACTGACACAACTCACTTCCTTTTGTTAATATTATATAAAGTAAGAAGTTTCTGTTTGTCATGACTCTGTCTCTGCACTTGCCCTGAATAAATCAGAATTAAAGGATTTTTACACTTGCCTGCAAGGAGAAACAAAATCTCACTATTTTTCCTGCTCTTGTAAACTGGGACTTTCACTGAGAGATTGGTGGAAAATGCTAGAATCCACTATTTGGAAAGGTAAAGCTTTTCCTGAAGACTGAAAATGGGCAAGCAAGATCTGATGTGGAAAGTCTTTAGCTGCTCTTCTGGTGTCTCTGTACACAAGCAAGGTATTCTTGCACATCATCTGGAGAGCCAAGGATAAAAGGAACTCTCTGGTGAATATTCTCAGGTTTCACATCCAGCACTGCTTCGGTCCCTGTAGTTGCTATGCCACCTGCCTGCTCGATGATGAAAGCCATAGGGTTGCATTCGTAGAGAAGTCGGAGCTAGAAAGAAAGAGGAAACACCTGATTGCCTGTGGGGGAAATTGTATCAAAGGACTTGCCAAAATTTAGCATTCTTTTTGTCATTTTAGAAAATTTTGTACCAAGCTGCAATTGACCTAAGTAGCAATGTCTTTCAGAGAGCCCTTCCTTCCCTCTCCTCACCTTTCCTAAAGTCTTCTGCTTGGAGGAACAGTGTGCCGACCTTACATCCAGGCATCACCATATAATTTCCAAGCTGACATACAGACGTGCAGCACCAGTGAAGCTGTATTTTGTCAAAAATGTCAAAAGTGGGTGTCCCACAGGCATCAGCAAAACATTTAAGCTGGCTAAGCTAACAGTACTGGGAAAGAAAAGCCAAAATATCTTCTCATATGGAGTCTTTACATGTTAACTCAGAGCTTGGGATAATCATGTTATGTTTAGTCAGGATATTTTGGAGTTTGAAACTTGATGGTCCCAGTTTCAAATTTCAGGATTCTATTGCTTCTCTTCAGAAATGTAGATAGATATTAGTGGCCTGAACTTATCCAGATTGTGGCTTCAGAAGGAGCAGCAGTTATTTATCAAAGGCAAAATTTCCCTTTTGGTTTGGACCCTGATATCTGTTTACGCTTTTTTAAAATGTTACCTCTTGGAGTGAGTGTGTTCTGGTGGAATGCAAATTTATTTAGGACATATGCCAAAGGTTTCTGTGTTTAAATGAACAGCAGCGAGAGCTGGTCAGTTCTGAACAAATATTATTTCTGTAGGTTTATCTATGAAGTGCTCATGTTCAACAGTATTAGCACATGTTTTGTTTAAAGGACTCTTGACATGTTCTAAAGAAGAAAAGTTTTCTGGGAAAAAGGAAGTGTGACAAAATGCTACTGTATAGAGAGACAGAGAAATGGGTTGAGCACACGACTTCACTACCCATCACACCTTTAGCACACTGCAATAAAACCATGATATACCACAACTTAAATAGCACTGTATTACCTTCTTTCTTATCTTTAAAGCCCACTGAAGTGCTACTTCTGGTACAAGGACTCCATCTCTGAGGCAACATAGGACCAGTATCTTTCACTCTTCTTCCTACTGCTTGGCCCAATTCTGGAAGGTCATGAGCCAGCAAAGAGCAGTGGTATCACCATGGAACCACGTTTCAAGTGTCTTGTTGCTACTGTGACTATGCAACTTGAGGAAAGCAGTTTTTCATCAGGTAGCAGTGCAACTGCACTTAGGGATCTTCAGATGGGCTCTGTCTTCAGATAGGTTTAACATTTTCACCTATTAGAGAACTATAAGCCTTAAGTTTATAAAAAATATTATTCAAAATATACCATTTGAAAAGGAGATTTATTTGTTGTCTTGTCCTGTAGTGTTTATTGTGTATTGTTTATAACAAAATAGCATTTAGTTTTCTTTCTTTAACTTAAAAAAGGATCTGTAACTTTTAGGGCCTACATCCATGTAATTTGCATTTACTCTAAAGACTTTTGATCAAGTCCTTTTGATAATTCCAGTGACATTTATTATTTTCAGCTCTTTAACCAAGTGCATAGACTGTCTTTCAGGAGAGAGATGATCAGGGCACTTGCCACAAGAGTATTATTTCTCCAATAAGAAAAGATACGTATGAAAAGAACTATGTACACCTGCACTCTGAGACAGAAAGAAAACTTATTTTTAATGACAGCATGTTTTCCTTCTTCCATTACTCTCTTTACTGTGGCAGTTCAAGCCAGAGCAATCCAATAATAAATGTGGGTTAGCTCTGTGGAAACGTTTCTTTCTATAAAGTTATGTAAGTGCTTTGTTCCTTTGTACTTTTGTCCTGCTTTTCATTCTCTCTTTTCAACAATGGTTTAGTACAGATTTCAAAACAAAAAGTTTCATTTGAAGAGGCCAGTCAGCAAACTCCCTTTTTTCACATACAGCAAATTCCTTTTTTTGTGTCTTTCTCCTATGTACAAACAGATCCACATCATTTAGTGAGGGCTTTTTGTAGTGGTGTTTTGGGGTTTTTTTCTGTGGGATGGTGATTCAAAAATTTAAATAATTTTTGCCTGGACTAACATGCAGACATTTTTGGTTGTATATGTTGAAGATAACTATTTTCCTGGTTTTACTTTGAAGACCATTTGGATCTGCTGGTATTTTGGTAAATACAAGCTCACCATGATGAAACCAGTAGTCCTCTCTCCCTAAAGACAGCAGATATTGGGATTTTCTGAGACCAGTGTGGGAGATGAGGCGGATTCCTTCATGTACCAGCCATGGATGCAAAAGCATTTGAATAGAAGACTTTAAGTATGGTGTAGATCAGGAAAGAATTCTTGGCGTCAGAACACTGGGTCCAACCTATTATGTACTAGGACATTGATTTCCTATTGATGACCTGGAGGTTACTGCTGGTCTACACATCATCTGTATGACTAGGTCTCTCAAAAAATAAGTGTTTAGAAAGTTGATAATGAGGGTATTTGATACTGCAGAAGAGAAGCTGAGGTTGACAATGGTCCGTGGCCCATCTCTAAAGACTGACTGCATTGCATTGCACTGCATTGTCACAGTGCATTTTGTACTGGTGTCCAAATAGGAAGTCATATTTTCCTAAAATACCGAATGAAACCCACCTTCCACTGTAATCACCTTTTCTGACCAGGTAGTAGAACCTTGAGTTTGCAGAGCTGGTGATATAAGTGTCCTTTGGAAACACAAGGTAAGAAAACCTTTTTTTCTAGCATTAGACAAAACCCTTTCTGGGGCTGAGCATGTCCCACCGGCAGGTGAGATAACTCTAGCTGCCAGTTTAAAGTGCAGAGGTTTTCCTTAGACCCGTGTTGTATCTGCCAGCCATGCACAGGTGTCTCAATGGGTTTCTATGGCGCTGAAATACTACCTTTAGAGAAATGATTAAGTCATTGGTTGCTGTGAAAACCACTTGAGTATTTAATAATATGAAAACACAGAGGAGGATTTCTGGCCGAAATTGGCAATTGCCTAATTTTCTTTCCTAAACTTGATTGTTGAGCATAATTTTCATTAACAATTTTTTCTGCAGTGGAACATTATTATTTTGTTTATCTAAACTATTGCTCTGGTAATACCAGAGATATTAGGTTGGCTAAGCTCCCCAGAAAGGAATTCAAATTACATACCTTTCCTTTAGGACTCTTCTGATTAGCAGGATACATGAAGATCCCACCATACATCAATGTACGGTGAACATCAGCTACCATGGAGCCCACATACCTGGCACCGTATGGGGAGCTGCCATCCTGAAAAACATACAGCAAAGCACTATGTTTACCAGGCTAGACAACTAGTAATGTGGTAAAATCTAATTTTGGTATGAAGCAGGAATCAAAGCTGCTTAAATCAATGGCTGCTTATGGATACTGCAATATAATTCGGTACTGCAATATAATTCGGTACTGCAAAATACCGAAATCAGTCCGGAGCTCAGCCTTTTGTAAGATGTGATTGTCTATAGCATTCAAAGATAAGAGTTTTAAAGAGCTGCATTCACAGTATGCAAACCAGAGTGCCTGTAATTTGCGTGCACAATTTGGAATCAAACCCAAGCCTGTGAAAAAACAAGGGACTGAAAACTTCTTCATCTTATCAAAGGTGATAATTTGAAAATTATTTGACTTTTGGTCTTTCACAGTTCCTACGCCAGAGCATGAGGAGTGGTGTCACTCCTCTACATGTCCAGATGGTTCCAAGAGGACTCCAACTTTTACCTTCCAACTTATTTGTCAGGTAGAGAAATTGGTCATAGCATTCATTCTGCAGCTTAGTTTGGGAGTTCGCAATTTATTAATGAATGTAATTTTCCTTGCTTTCAGCTTAGAAATTGATATAGTTGAAGGACAGGCCTTTTTAACAAGGTCAATCAAGGAAGTATTCATGTCAGTCTCAGGTCTGCTGGTCATAAAAATGGGTAGGTAGAAGATATAGAAGACAAGCAAGGTGTCTTGAACAGATAGAAGTACATACAGTCAACCAAATAAGCTCCACTGAAGAAATTTAACATGTCACTATACCTTTATGAAGGGGAGATACAAAATACAGATGTAAACTAAAGGAAAGCTTTTAAAGAAAATAATTTTGCTGGTCTTTTCATGTCTCTCAGTCTGTCTCCAATAAAGCTGAGGAGGAATTTTTATCTTCCCAGAACATTACTAGAGACCGAACTTCATGAATGTTTAATGACGTATATGTTTTTTATTACAATGCTAAAAGTCTGAAAAGATCTCAGTGGGGTTTTTTTCCTGTCTGGGTCAGTTTTCTAATAAAAGATCTCAGCACTTTCTACAAAGCTCATCCTGTACTGATATTCCATCTAGAAAAATACATAGAAAACTTGTTCAGCAATGCCAACTCCAAGACCTTCAGACACCACAAGTTAGTCATCTTTCCCTGTAAAATCATAAGGTTGGCTGGGAAAAAAAATCCACAACTGGAAGGAAAATAGAGAAAAACATAATTCTATATTGGATAATCTTCTCAAATTGTTCAATGAGACTCTGAAGTATTGATAATTACCCTCTATTAAAATGGAAAAAAAAAATCTCATGAAATTACATATTATAAAGCAACAGAACACTAGGAAGTTAAGCTCTATGCTGCTAAACATAAGATTTGGATTTTTGATATAGCTGATAATAAAATAAGAAAACAGACCTATTCCAGGCCTTGTTTAACTGTACATACGTTGGTTTGTATGATTCGTGTTGCACACATAAGAAGAACTATGAAATATTCAGAAGAAAATAATGCGAACTATGAAAGACTGATGGATAAGGCACAACCTAGAGCTTTTACATTTAGTTTTGTTTAAATCTGGTCCTATTAATTGTAGGTATAAATGAACAAAGCTTTAAAGTATTTGCTCCCTTGTTTTTCATGGCTAATGCCCAAATAATTGCGTATTTAGGCTTCATATGATAGCGTCTCCATCTCACAGCTGTTTGTACTTGTGACTTCACAATTGTAAAAACCTGACATCAGGAAAAACCAAGCACCTTAAGAGGTATTAAAGAGAAACAAATGTGAGTTTTCAGTTAAAATCTGAAAGATATGATTATAATCTCAAATTACCTTTAAAAATACAATCAAAAGAAGAACTTTGTTTTGTGGTTTTAAAAGGTAATGAACTGAGTCTAAAGAACAGTTTGTTAAACACCAAAAAAAGCCATAACATATTAACAAGCAGCCCCTGAACCAGACTGCTAAGGATTGCTTCTATTATGTTACCAAATAAGGACTCTAAACTACAGGTATGAAATTTAGTGACCATGAGCTGCACAGCTGAGCTACCTGTGTACACATCATCTGACAGGTTTGGAATGTGCTAGATTTCCTATTCACATACAGATTATTTACATAATTCGTGTCTACATGGACTGTGTTATGCAAAGGATGCTTTGTGGGTTCCATTCCAACTCAGGATATTCTAAGCTCTAAGCATGAGATGCCACTGACAATTTTAGTTGCTTCTTACCCAGATAGATATTCACCAGCTAGAGACACAGTGCTGAGACTGTGCTGAGAAAAATACAGATAAATTCCTCCCTTCTGATAAGGTTATCACTTGAAACACATATTGAAATAAAATTTTTACTTCCCTTAGCATACAGCTGTCTGCATAGAAGATTAAATACTCATTTTAGTTAGTGAAATGTTATTTCTTGTTTCTCCAGTTTTGCTGCTCATGCATTTTTTTACAGATAAGAAAGTTAATAGGTGTTGTATGTGTATTGGCATATTGCCCAGGCGTTCTTCTCAAACAAAATAATAGAGCATGAATGCTAGACAGGTTCATCCCAAGTCCTCAGTGATGCCAAGCTCTGTGTTTGCTCAATAAGCACTTCTGATTGCTTAGTTGATGCCAATGAAAGAGCTGGAGATCCTTCATGTTCCCTTGATCAGCATCTGTGTTGAGTAAACTTGTGGCTACTCTTTGTTTTACCCCTTCTGCTGCTTTTTCTTTTTTTGCTTGACTCAAAGGAACAAAAATTATACATAACAGATAGGTCCTGTGATTTTTTTTTCCTTCACATTCTGATAGAAGTCAATTTTTCATTTCTTTCTTCTACTGTTTTTGACAGCCCTGCTCTTCCACAGCAGAACAAGACCAGGTTTTTCTTATATAAATATGATGACTTGGGGGGGGGAGGGGGGCAAGAAATTTTTTTCTACAGACTACAACAGCAATACCCTGCATCCCCTACTCCACATACAGATGTGGTGACAAAAGAATAGTAGTTTTACTAGTTTTTTTGTATCACTTGGACACAGCTGGGCTTCATACTGAAATGTGTTGTTGAGGCCATTTTTAATGGCACTGCTGAGACAAATTCTTAACGAGGGAGTCTCAATTGCATAGCTCTCATCATCAGCAAGCTGTGATGAGACTCAATTTCCCTTGTGCCTGACTGTAGGAAGCAAAGATAAAAGTGTCATAGCAAAGTGTGACAATGTCCACAGGGTATTTCAAATTCTACCAGTGCCAGAAGAAAGCTAGGGGGAGGAAGAACCCATTTTAGGGAGGAGTTGTAGTAAAATTTGTGCAGAGATGGTTTCTGGCCCAGCAGTGCCCACTAAGCATTGCAGACTGGAGTAAACATGTTTCATTACAGGCAACTTTGCAAACAGAAGCTTGCTCTTCAAACTGGTTAAGCAGAAGTGTGATTTTGTCATGCTAAATAAAAAAATCAGCTTCACTCTCATACCAGAAGAGATGTGGTTAGACATGTGTTTCCCACTACATGATAGTAGTAGGAGGCTTAGTCTGGCCTGCAGAACATCAGCATTTTTCTAGTGCTTTTTATTCAGAATTGATGCCTTAGGTAAATGGTGATCCACAAGAAAATTTGAAAGTCAATGCAGTTTAGTAGTTCAAACTGTCTGATCTAGGACACTGCTGTTAGATAGTAAGGAGCAATCTCTCTTCTACTCATAAATGGTTGATTTTTAGTTTTTTGTTGCTAATGACGATATATAACATAGGATATCTTATGGATTGCACTGTACTTTTGATTCCCTGTTATATTTTTAACTTCTCAGTTTTTCATGGCAATGTCAGAGAGTCATCTGAACAGCATGTTGACCAAGAGCTACAGAAAGGAGTTAATAGAGGTAAGATCTAAGGAAGAAAAATGCAAAAAAGTGACAGATAGCTAAAACTGATGCCCGAAGAGTCTATGAATGACCTGCCTGAATAAGAAGGTGTACCTCCATGCCCATGTCAGTTCCTCCTCATGCCACAGGCAGGGGATATTCAGCAGACACCCTCACTACCCTTCTGCATGCTGCAGAGAGGGGGACAGAGACTGAAACTGTGAAAATCTCCACCTGGCTCCTGTAGGGAAGGTAGGGACATCACCAATGTGGCTGCAGCTGGGTAGCCTTACAGATGAGTCCAGGAAGCACATTTCATGCTAAGGAGAAATGACAAAACCTCTCTAGTCCTCCCCACAATGCAACTATTATATCCTTTCCAAATCAAGGAACTGAGTTATGCTGGTTCCAAAACTCAGGTTCATAACAAGCTTCAGATGGGCAGGGCACTTCCTTGTGCTTTGTGGCTATAACATTCGTGTCTCAGCCCTTCTCATGCTGACGACTGTACATCTCAGAGCAGCAAAAAATGTGATTGTTCAGCACAACTGAGAAGATTTCCTGTGCCCCAAATAACCCATGCACTTCTGTGGTGCTTGCTTTAAAGTAACAAAAATATCTGCCAGCTTCTCTTCCATTAGACAAACAATTTCAATAGGCTTGCATCGAATGATGCACAGATTTGCGATAAAACAGTGTTTGCAAATGAGTTTTTTCCAGTATGTCCTAACTTTAGGATTTAGGAAGTCACATGATAGAGCTGTCCTCATTGATCCTGTAGGGAAATACCTCTGTCTGGTCTTTCCACTGAGTTTGAAATCTCTTCAGTCATCTCCTCATTGCCTGGGCTTGATGCATTTGTTCAAGAATTTTACTTTAAACAACACTTTGGTGGTTTGCAAAAACACAAATTAATAACTCCGGTCTTAGTGCATGATACTGAATACATAGCCTGGTATAACATTAGCAGAGTGAGAAGCACAGATGTTCTTCACTTTCCCAACTGGATTTAGGGAAGTATGAAAGTTGTGTCATGGGCTTCTGCTTCTCTCACAGCTGAACTGAATGCAGACTTTGAAGACTCAAAATAATCTCAAATATTCAAAGTTAATATATTTAGAAGACTGTGATGTTAGACTCTCTGCAGCTACAATCTGAGTAGTATGCAAAGGAGGGTTTGATATTTAGTCAGTAGTCTTACAGCTATAGCTGATATGCTAAACCCAGATTTTTTTAGCTCAGAAGGAGGAGCTTATCATGGGACCACAGTTTAAATGCTTTCTCATTATATTTCCCTTTTACTGCACCCTGAGGTTTTTACTGAATCCATTTATTTAACACAGACAATATTACAAGTATCCTTGACAACTAATAGCTTAAAAATAATCTTTTTTTTAATAGGAAGAGTTTTAAAAACAGCTTCCTAACCAAATTAAGTCCTGACTTGATCCACATGACCATATTTCATTATAAATTACTTTTCACAGCCACACTTTTTAGAGAGCTTCCAGTTTTCCACATTGAGACCTTGTGTTGTCCTCCTAGCATTGATAAGTTAATTCCAAACTGTATTTGTCTGAGGAAGTTCATCAGACATGGGATGTCTTTCTCCAAGAAAGTTCATCAGACATGGGATGTCTCTCTTTTAACCACCAAATATAGTTAATTTGTGCCTCACACCATTAGTTTAGATTTTCTCCCCAGCCTATAGGTTGTTCATGCTCAATATGATGCAAATAGACTGTGCAAGAATGATACTTTACTTTTCAGATGCAAGAGGGTGCAGGAAGGAGAAGGTGATGCCACCCAGATTCCTGCAAACAGCTTCTGGACAGCACATGGAATCTAGCCCTGAACGCCCAACTGCACACATTACTGAACTGCATATTCAGATAAAGCTAAAAAATGAGAGGATCCCCAAATTTGGCATGCACATTTCTGGAGTTTTGTTGAAAGATCTAGTTCTCCAGCACATTTCCCTTCACACAAACAAGTTATGACTTTATTTACGAAAGTCTAAATTATAAAAGATGTCAGGATGCCAAAAAAAAGTTCCATTACACACATATCCAAAATGGACCAGCTGGTACGAAAGGGTTACATGGGTCTGAACTCAGGAAGACCTTCAAATCCTTTTCCAACAGCCAGGACTGCATGGAATGCAGTGCTTGCCAGTGCACGGTACACTGGGTACAGTGCTAATATTTTCTTACCTCAGGGAATTTCTTCTTTTGCAAATATTCTGTCATTGCAGGATCAAAATACTTTGCATAACCTTCGTTGAGACTGTATACCTTCCCCTTCTTCTTGATTTTAACATCTCTGTCCACCAAAATAAATTCACCAAGACCCTGCAGGACAGGATAAATTAGGTATTAGCATACAATTTCGTTGGCTTTTTGTAACAGTTGTCACATTAGACATGGCAGAAATACTAGCACAACTTGATCCTTTCAGTACAAGTCTAGTGTATAAACTCACAATATTTCAAAAAGAGCTGAAAGCAGAGAATTTACACTAACTTAATGAAAACTTGTCACATCAATACTATAAACAAAACCTAATTGGAAAAGAGTATCAAAAGAACACAAATCAACCCTGAAAGCAGATGGATCATGAATCTCTGTCTTCAAATGATAAGACTGCAAATCAAGAAATGACACTGCCTTCTGACTTCTGGATTCTTTTTGCCTGTCTTGTCCAAATAACCTAATGTGAATGTGGTCAGCTACACCCATTTGTTGCTCTCTGCAGTTTAATTTCAACTTCCACCTTCTCTTACTCTGTCTCAAGCAGAGCAGTTCATCTCCCAGTTCTTTCCACTTGGAATGAGACTATTTACAAACATTACAATAACTTCTGGTAATAATTCATCCTTTTATTAAAAACAACCCCACAAAACCATAAAAGACCACAGTATGTTATTCCCCACATCTAATTCTGGTTTTACAAATGAATGATCTTTCTAGCATTCCCACAGTAACACTCATTGTGTTCTGGGCACTCAAGAGTGGCACATGTTCAATTTATACAGGTGTTGTTGTGCTTTTGCAAATTTTTGGGCACGCACCTTAGGTGACAGCCATAAAACTCTACTGCACTCAGGAAATGAAACATCACTTGGCTCAAGCTATCAAAAAAATGGTCCTTGCCTCAGGCTAAACAGTGAACATGTTGATGTTCTTATTCAGACAGAAAAATCAAGAAGAAAAGAAACACAGGTTCCTTTAAGTGAAGACAAAAACACGGTATAAATTAAATTTTTTTAAGTGTTGGTTTGAATGAAGAGGGTTTCAGACACTTAATTGAGAATTTAAGTTAATTTCACTTCTATTGAGTAGGAAAAAGCCAAGCAGGTATTGCAACCAACATGCTCATATATTATTAAATATTTATAAAGAGAAGGTGGGATGATCCAGGATATGGAGAAAAGAATTGCATAAAGTGGATAGATTACAGAGACAAGGATTAACATAAACAAGTAAAACCGAGCACAGAGAGCTCTAAAAGACAGTGGCAATGTGATTAACACCATGACTGTACCGGATCAAGCATGAAGCAGTCCACTCCTTGCCCTGTGGAGAGGGCAACCAGCGTAGCACTACCATACAGGGCATAGCCTGCAGCAACAATATTGCGTCCAGGCTGTAAAGCATCTTTTTCAGAGGGCTCATCATCTGTTTCCTGAGGAAAAATTACCATTTGAACCAAAGGTCAAATTCTGAAAATGAACAATAGAAACAACTTTTCAATAATAATGTGCGACAGATTTCCTTTTTCTGTCTATGCAGGCCTTTGAAACAACAAAACCAGAGATTGTTACTCCCCCCACCCCTCGTTCAGGGCAAGCTTGGTATAGGTACGTGTACATGCTGGGACAGGATATTGAGAGTTTGTTATTCTATACATGTCATGCAATCAATATGATACATGCCGCAAAGCTGATCCCTTAGCATTATATCCCCAGCTATTAATTGAGGATCATCAGAAAACTGAGACAGAGCAGAGATACTAATCTTCTGTAAATGTAACATAAGCTATGATGCTGACATCCCTCAGAGGGAATAACTGAGAGATAAATGCTGTAATTAACATTACAAAAAAAATGCTCCCATAGTACAGAATAAAAGGGTATATGGTGCAACATGATATAACCAAGTTTTTGCATTGGTCTCTTCTAGTGAAAGGATGCTTAACTGAAGGAATATAAATGTTCATCTATTGTATACAAATGCTCATCATATTATATACAAAATAACAAATGCATTTGGTTATGTAAAGTGTGCACGTGTGCAGGTACTCACCTATAAGTCTACACAGAACATTCAGGTGGCATTTTACTTCAAGCTTTTAACCAATTTCTGACACTCATATTTTGATTTGGCACTTTGGTTATCATAGAGCAACAGTAGCCCAAGCACACAAAGTGCAAATATTTCCAGCCAGCTGTAGGGCTGTGCCTCAGCCATGGCTTACAAGAGTTTATCTGGTGGGATGGGTAAGAAGGACAGCCAACAGTACTTGGGAAGGCTGGTTAGAGCCTTCATGTCCTGCTGCTACAGAATGGGCCAGGATTGCTTGATATTAATGTTTCTTTAAAAGTTCATCTGTTGTGGTGGTTCTCATATGGATGTTTTGGTGGTGGTCCATGGGGAATTGAAAGGAAACACTCCCTTTTCTTCAGACCATGGCTTAGTATTGTTCCCAACTCAGACAGTTTCTCAGTGATTGCACAGGCTTATTTAGATTGAGTAGCAACTAAATAGAAACAGCAAGTCTAGCCCTGAATATTTGGTTAAAAAAAATTAAAATCCATGAAGACTGTCTTCTGTAGAAAATAAGATATTTGCCCATTAGGGTCCTAGTAAGGTGTTCCCATTCATCGTCGTATGCCAACACCTCAAGGAAAGCTGAGATGTGGGACACTAAAACAACACCTTCTTGGTACACAAAGATAGCAATTTCACATCAAAAAGTTTTCATTTTCAGGTGAATTTATTACTAAAGTCACTTCACTCACAGTCTTTAACTGTATTTTGCTCAAATCCTTTTATTACTATTTTGCCAAGTCCCTCTGTGGAAATAAAAAATCCAGTTGACAACCAGCGCTTTTCATGAGAAGAGCTGAAATATAGCATGTACAAATGTATGTATATATATTTGTATATATATTCGTACATACTGAGGGACTCAGTCCCTCGAAACTATGTCAAGCTGCCTATTCTAGGAGGTTATAATGACGACTAGTTTAAACTTTTGTGTGCATATTTCAGAGCTTCAAAAATTGACTAATATTAGCTAATACTTTGTGAAACAATCCTTACAGTACCAACTATTATGGCCTAGGTAGCTTCATCTATTTCAAAAATACACCCCTATGGTACATACATCTCACCATTAAAAGCAATGGTTGTCTATAGGAGACAAATTATTTGCAAGATCAAATGCAGAATTAAACATTCATTTAGACAGTTAATTTCAAACATATTTTGGTTGTCATAGCTTTTTATATGCTCCTCTCATTAAAGAAAAAAAAAATTTGTATGGAGCAAAGTGGTTTGTTTTCTAGAATACAGTATATATACAATACATGCAACTTTGGGTTATATATGATATTGTTTTAAAATATATTTTTTTCTGAGATGAGCTTTTCAGTCCTATTTCTTAAATGCATTTTTTATGTTAATGTGACTGAGAAACTATATATTTGACTATTCTGAAAAAAGCAGGGGAACTCGTCCCTCAAGGTATAGTTGGGCTGAGTTCACTTGTTTTTCCATCCTTATTCACAACTGTGTTTCCAAGAGCTAGCTTCCAAAAAGAAGAAGAAAAAAGAAAACATTTTGCAGAGCGAGTCAAAATGTGAAAAAGCTACAGATCAGCTGATACTTCAATGTTAGGACTGCAGGAATTTTGTCCTGCCAAGTACCATGTACTGATAAACAAACCAGGGAATTAAGCTGGGCAGTGCACTCTGATAATTGCTATTTTCTCTTCTTTCTGGTGCACAGATGGATTTCCTGTCCATTATATTTTGACTATGATGGTGGTAGTGAAATACCTTTAGAGGCCTTTATGCAAAACAATAAAATAGACAGATGGACTGTAAATAATGAGTTATAGTGACTCTGTCACTATAACTCATAACTGGTGTGAGGTAGATGAAACAAAGGCTGCAGTGTTTGGCTATAGGGGTACCCTCAGGTGATATCTGGGTCTAAAATTTTTTGTGTTTGTGATTTGCCTGACATCACACAAGGGAATTCTCATCAGCACTGACAGCAGCACTAAAATGACTTGATTTCCAGGTCTCCATTTTGTATCATGTGTTTCATGAGTAGCCTTGGTGTTTTTACTGAATTCTTACACCTTCTCTGTGAGGGACCACATGAAGGGGAGGACACTGTCCTCACAATAAGGAAGGGTATCAAATAAAATACATCAGAAGCATTGGGCAAAGTTACAAATTAAAACCAAAATGAAACAAAGCGAGAGAGTTTCATAGCATATTTGTGCAGTATGAATTAAGGATTGTAGATTTAGCTCAGTGGCATGAAAACCTGGGAAGAACTCAAGCGAAAAGCATTTATTGTCACTATACCTTGTCACTTTGGCAGCTGAGAGCCCCCTGCTCAGCGGCAGCAGCTGCCCAATCCCCTTCTGATTCAGCAAGGCTTCTCCCTCAGCCCCACTTTTCAGCTGTTTCTGATTTTCAACTGTACCACTCTGGTTTCAGAAAGCAAAGGCCAGGTGGAAAATTAAATAAAGCTGATATACTATTTATTTCCTCATGGATTTTTCTAAGAAACTGATAGAGTGGTTTTGTGACATCATGAAATGGTCCCTCCCACTGTGGTGGAGGCTCTGGATTGGAAGCAATCAGAAAACTGTTTTCAGGATTGAAATGTATTGTCCAAGTCTGGCCTTTCTATAAGAGTGCTTATTATCTGTTTTGGTTTTTTTCTAAAATAAGCCTAACATTTCTGCTCTGGAGAGTGTGCCTTTGGAAATGAAATTAAGGTGAGACATGGTGAGAAAATCAGCTCATCTTAATCTTCGAGGCTAAGGTTCATCCTTTGGAATCACAATGATTTTACCTTTTCAAAAATGTTATTCATTAATCTTAAATGGCCTAAAATTTTGTTCTCTTTCTTAAGTGATATTTATCAACTGGAATGAACATCTCACTTTTATTCTTTCACACTGCCCTTTAGTAACTATCAATAGAGCACTTCTTATTTAATAATTTCAAAGAAAAATGCAGCTGTTGTCTACTGCAAATATTGGGAGATGCTGTTGTCCTTTAGGGTATCTTTGGAGAGATAACTGAAAAGGGTGGAGGTCCCTTAACATTAGAGCACATTTAATGGATTTCATTGACACAGATAAGACCTTTTCCCTGCAGAAAGCAAGAAACTGCATGGTACTGGAGGTAGTCCCAGGAATGCTCTTTCAAAAATCATACCCAGGCACCATCTCAGTGCTGTCTGGCCTGCACGGCATCCGTGGTGTGGGTTTGCACTAACCATTAACAGTGTGGACGGCCAAATTCCAGGACTTGTGCCACAACCCTCTGGGCTTGTGCCATAACTATTTGATTCACTAGTAGATGCATATTCTCAACAGTGATGACTATTGTATTACCTGCAAGGAATGTAAAAACCAAGGACTTACCAGCTGAAAATTATGAGCTAAAAGGAGAGAGACTTAGAAAACATATCTTCATTCACTTGAAGTGTAACATCTGAGTCTGCAAAGACTTCTTTGAAGTCAGAAGTACTGTAAACTGTTATTTCACAATAGCAATGACTGAGGGTCTCCCACAGTCATATGACCGTGAGCTCAGGCTTTGGAAAAAACACCAACTGCTGGGAGATTAGCAAACAAATCACAAGACTTGGCATGACTGGAACTCTCAGTGTTTGCTGCTGTACTGTGCAGCCATAGGGGAACAGACATGCTACCGGGCCCGATGACTGTGGGTGAATGCTTCCTCCAGCACCCAGCGTTTCCTTGTTCACGGACTCCCGTCCATGGCAGGCACGGCAGCTGGCTCTGGCAGGCCGCACGGCCCCGTCCATGGCAGGCACGGCAGCTGGCTCTGGCAGGCCGCACGGTCCGGTCCAGGGCTGCCAGCCGCCGGCAGTGCGTGTCCGGGAGGACAAACACTGCCATTCCTCAGCACCTAACGCTGAGTCAAGCATCACTGAAGGAGCTAACCAGCTGCCCTGGGGGTGAGATCACGTTAGTTAAGTGCCTTTGTGTGCCGAGGAAGGAAGTGCTGTCACCTAACAATGTCATGGGGCTGGGTGCCCCCTTCCTGTGAATTCAGGCAGCATTTTAGCACACGTGAATATGAAGTGTTTGTCTACCCTTTCTAAGGCTCCCTTTTGCCCAGAGACACCTAAAGGACCATGGAAAGAAACTAGGCAAGGTGATTAACTCAAGACATTTTGCTTTCACCAAGCAAATAATGCCATGTGTGATTTGCTCCTCTTACCTTTTTGTAGATAGCAAATATTGTTCCTATTGGTGCCAAGCAATCTATATTGGATGAACCGTCAAGGGGGTCAAAGCACACCACATATTTACCCTAAAAGAGAAGTGGCAAGGGAACCATTTAATGATAAGTTGCTTGGTATTATTACTTCCTTTTACTTGAAAACTCCCATGTTTTTATGTCTGCATTTAGCCCACCAATTGTGCCTGATACAGCTCGTCAGAGAAGGCTGCACTGCTAACCCAGCTGGCCCTGCAGCACAACACCGACTCCCCAAGGGCCTGCCAGAGAAATTGGAGAGGACGTGTTTCTGCTCAGACAGCACAAATGGATGTTACAGAGGAGCAGTCCTCTGCTGCCAAGCAGGGCAAGAAATTGTTTTAAAGCAAAAGGATTGACGCATTTTGGAAGCAAGCATCTTCCTCTAATGAATATGTTTTCTTTTGCTACTTTTACTGTGAATGAGAGGATTTCTCTGTGTTGTGAGGTTTGAGGGCAAGAAGGCAGAAAGAGAAAAATCTTCGGGAAAGGGCAGGTTACATCAGCATGAACAGTAACTCGCTGTAATAGGATCCCCTCCAGGGGGAAGCCTGATGAAGCAGTCAGGTGTTTCCTTTGAATATGTAACATAACACTCCGTTCTGCCAGCTCTCATCTCATTTTATCTTTCTAAATACTAGTGTAATCCAAAACCATGGCACCAGCGGTCAGGGAATGTAATAGTACACTTCCACCTGAGATTTGGGATGTGTTAACAAGCTTAAAAATAATTATTCTCCCCCCCTTCACAAACCTTTAATAATAATTTTACTCTCCACATCTCTTTTAGCTGTTGAAATCATGCCACCCACTACAGTTATTAATCAAAACAACGCAGAAACGGCGCAAATTTTCTGAATTTCCCCGGGAAGGGTTGGGTGTGGGGGGCCCGGGCCAGGTTTCATACTTGAAGCAAGAGTGCCACCTGCTGCTGCCTGAGCCGACAACCCCCCTGAATGCCGGAGCCGCACAGACCCGCTTGTCTTTCGGGGTGATGATGGCCTCCTTGTTCTCCTCCGTGACCAGGACACAGGTGCTGTAGGAGGACTGGAGCATGTTAATCACCAGGGAGTTGGATAACACATCCAGCTTCTTCACCTCATCACCCGTCACATTCACAGTGCCAGCTATACCAAACCTACAGAAGAGTAACAATGACAAGAAACCTGAAGGAGGCAAACATTACAGGTTTTTACAAAAAACACCTCAACAAGTCAAGGTTATTCCTTCATCTTATCTTCCTACACCTTTAGACAATCTTTGGATGACACAGCTGAGGTGCATTATAAGACTGTTGCTGCTGTAGAAAATAAAAGCATGTGCTTTGAGGCCTTACCTGGGTCCTCTTGTTTCTGTGTAGATGTTCCCCAGGCCAGAAGCAGAGCCCACAGCCCAGATGGTCAGTACCAGCCTTCCCCAGCAGCCCCATGAAGCAGCTGGCTGCAGTTTTGAGGAAGCAGAAAGTGCAGTGAGCATCTGCAAATATTTTCTGTCACTAGCTGCTCAGAGCTCCATGGCGGTCCTTTAACCCACATTCACCCTGCCAGCCCCAAATCAGGACTTTAAAAGCATCCCCGGGGAATTTGCCAGATAGACCCGTATCTCTGGATCAAGGTCTGTTTTATTTGCTGATCCTCAGCTGAGTTAGGATGACACTTTTCCCTATCCTGATTTTAGCAATATGCTAATAACATGATATAGTAGTATATATGTTTCTAAGACTTCCAGTTGAAGAAGCACTGTTGAGGCCCAATGTGCATGTTCTGGGCTTCTTAAAAAATACAAAAACCATACAGGGAAAAGCTACAGCTTTTTTTATTCATTAAGGGAAATTAAATGGGGTCTTTTGGGGAGTGTGGGGGAAGGGGAGGGGTGGTGGTGGAGTGGGGATGGATGTGGGAAAGAGGAGAGGAGAAAGAAGAAAGTAATTAGTCCATAGAATGATATTGGTCAGTGGCAGGCCTGAGCTGGGAGTGGAGTAGGTCTTTTGTCTTTCTCAAAGCTGCCTGTGCCTTTCAGCAGTATTGAGTGTTTGGGATATTTTATTTTTGGGTGCCAAATCTAAGATTTTGAAAAGGACTATGATTTTCAGGGAATGGTAAGTACCTATTCTCCAGTTAGTGTGTTTTCAGGCACAATCACAGCTCAAGTCTATGACTTGGAAAAAGTTCTCCTTCACTTTTGAATTTAAAATCTGTCAAAAATTCATGCTTAGTGCTTTAACATTAAAGAAGACACCCTATTTGGAGGAAGTAGAAAAATCAGGGCTCTTTAACTGCACAAATGCAGATGAATGCAAGCCACTTTCACAGTGGTTGAAAGTTTGCCATGGGAATCCCTGAAATTCCATGGTTAGTCTCAGTAATTTGAATGGTGCAAATTACTAATTTGTATGTTTGGATACTTCAGATATTTCTGAGACAACATCTGAAGCTTTTTGTTCGTAAAAAGAAACACTTGCGCCTTAATGTAATGGATGCTTTGGGTTTTTTTCTGAAGGGGAAGAAGGATTACTATTGTTATTATTAGAGGTTATTCCACCAATAGCCTATCAGTTTTTCTGCTGTTACAAACTATTTCAAAGATTGTCTACATAAAAATAAAAAATATATAAGGTAAACTCTTCCTTTAAGTCAAGGAGGCAAAATAGCTCAGTTTCACCTAGTAAGGAAACTAGCAGACAAAGCATAATTTAAGAGTAAGGGCATAGGAGACTGAAACTGTGGTTCACTTTGAGTCTGTCTCATGTCCTCTCTAGGCACTATAAAGTGAGTGCAATAGTTCTGAGACATTGAATTCATGATTTGCTAAGATGATATAGGACTTTGACCAAATAATCAACAGGAGCACAAAATCCCCCCCAACTCCTAGGATCACACATTTTGGTGTTTCTGTGGAAGGAAAGGAAAGAAAATCCAAAATCCCTAAACAAATAATAAATGTTGACTTCCTTTCACAAATATATTCCTGGTCTCTTTCATGCGTGCAGGTGTAAGTTAATACTAAGGCATGTTCAGAAAAATATCTTTTGATACATATCAAGAACTTTCTATTTGAAACACACAGTTTTATTAGGGCATTCCAAATCTCTGAACTCTTTCAGATAGATCAGCATTAAAAGACTTAGACTGATGTCTATTGCACTTGTCCATGTGGAACAGTTCAGTACATTCCAGGTTTTGGGAAGGCCATTTTTTATTCTATCTGCAAAAGAACTAGATGCCAAATTGTTGTGTTTGGTTTTCCTAGAGGGCCTTTTGAGACCTCCTGCCTGTAGCCCTACACGTGGGATACTGCTTGAGGAAGGAAAGAGAAATGCAGCCAGGCACAGCAGCGCATGGGGCTTCTCTCAGGGTGTTGCTTTAGAGCATTGCTTATTCAGCAGACAGGCAGAAAATCGGCCTCGCAAGATAAGCCAAGCCCTGACTTGTACAGTTCAACAGAGGGCTTGGATGCTAGCAGAACATATCACAGAGAGATATTCTGCATTAAAAATGTAATGGTGTGATTTTTAGCAAATTCACAGTAGATATAAGAATAGATCAGTTTCAACAAGTGGAAGAGATAACAAGGTGAGCAGTGCATTGAAGTTCTGTTCTGACTTACATTTTTAGAGTAAAATATTACAGAACAGCAGTTAGCTTAAATGTCTATCTTGCACCCAATATTAGAATACTCCAGAAAGAAAGCTCTCCTGCTTCCCACTCTTGATAATCTAAGCTCTGACCTTACTCAGCTTAAAAAAGACTCTTCCAAGGTATTTATGAATCTCTGCCCACTCCCCAGCCTTGCTATGCCAGTTGCTGTCTCTCTGCCTCCTCTTCCTCCCGGTAGTGCAAGGTAGGACTCACATGTGGGCAAGGCCTGCCTTTCTGACAGCAGCAGAAATGGCCTTTATGGCAGTCAGCATGGAGTTGAGCAGCTGCGTCAGCTCCCCCGTCGCTCCCTTCACGCGGCGTCCCTTCTCCATGACAAACCGCGTCAGGGTCAGCATATCCGTCTCGAAGGGGCTTTTGTCCGTCATTTTTGCAGGGTACCAGAGCTCCTTCTCAGCTGGACAAAATGCTCTCTTGTCGTATTGAGATCCTGGGCAGCTGTTTTATTTTGAGGCGAAGCTGTGTTTGGCTGTGTGGCTGGTCAGAATTTATTGAGATGTTTCTGAGACCATGTGATTGAGTGCTCAGAATAACTGCACCCCAGGCTGGCTCCACGGCTACACTGAGGTGCAGGAAAGGAGCCTGAGACAGGACTACAGCTGAGCAACTACTGCTCATCCGGGCTTCCCCTATGCTGAAATTAGCTCTGTGCAGATCTAGCTACATATTCTCACTGTACATCAGACTGATTAAAATGCAAAACTCTCACTGTCTGCGTTCTTGGAAATGGCTTTCCTGTAGATCCTGTTCAGCAATGGGTTCAGCATAGCCAGGGCTGTGTTTACAAGGCACCAGAAATGAAAGCACCAGACACCAGTAACCATATGTGCCACAGTGTCCCACAGCACTGTGACTCCAGACAGTGAAGTTCCCTTCACATAAGTTCTGTTTTTTCACTCTCTTTTGGCCTCTACCCTGAAGGAGGGTTTTGAAGGGGTGCATTGGGACATGCGTTTTTTAAAGTGTTTTATGTTGCTAGTTGGTCTGCTGCAGTTACATTTCAATGATTTAATTCCTGGTCTGGGTTGTTTGTAATGTTATAGCGCTTGAATGAATGAGAAGTATTGGTTAGCTGTGGCTTGACTAGTTACAAAGTAATTATATCTCAAATAATTTACAAATAAGTCTTCTCTGATTGAAGCACATCAATGGCATAACTCACAATATGAAATTTTATGTTGGCTTTCATATTGTAGTGCACCATGTAAATGTAGGTATGTCCAAATTTGCAATTATGCTGCCAGTAACTCCTTACAAGCAATATGCTAGGAGCACATGATGCCAAGTGAAGGTAGACAGAAACTCTCCAAGTAATGTATTAGATTTTGCATTAGATACATGCTGTCGGAATGCTGGAGTTATGGATTTTAATTACAGCACTGTCTTCCCACTCTGACTAGGCAGTAAGAGAAACTATATGCTGTTACATGCTATAGCCTTCATTTTACTTAATAGCAGCACCCTTATTTTAAAGTAGAAGATATGGAAAGCCCACCAGCAAAACAAGAAAAGCTGGAGTAACAGCAGAAAAATTTTATTAAGTTTCACTGGTATTCCTTTAACAAATTACTGCACCAAAATCTTGCCAGGAGGACAGAAACAAAATTCTGTATCAAAACATATGCATAATGTGTTTTTGTTAACAGGAACTTCAGCTGAAGCATTTCTTCAGTTTTTCCTAGAAGTGTCTCTTCATCTAATGACAAAAATACATTATTTGTAGGGTTTTTAAAGGGATTTGAATGCTAAGGTTTTCTAATTTGAAATCATCTGCAAGAAAGGGTTTTAGAGATCGACAGCACTGAACACTAGCCACAAGCAGAAAGACAGAGTTCAGTGCTGCTTCCATCCCATGTGCTTAGTTTTAGAGATATTTTCCAGTCCTGTTCCGAGGTGGAGAAAGGACTGGTGAGCGAAGTTGCTCAGATGGAGCAACAGGCAGGTTTTATACTGCATCCTCTATGGCAATGGTTGAAGAAGAAAGAAATCTTGAAGATTTCTCTTTTCTACTACAACATCTAGTTAAATGTATTGTTCACATCACAAGACAAAAGTTACACAGCATGTTCTGCCTGGTTAGGAAGCTTTCTTATTTTGAACAGACTGTGTAGAAAACCAAAAATAAAATATGTGGAGCTTTGGGATAGCACATGATAGGATCAACAAAAGAAGGTTTCACGTTATACATGCAAAAATACCTGCTGGCCTAAAGTACAACCATTAACATTCTGCACATTATTTCATCATCATGGCACTTGTCAGCCTGACCCATACTAAAATGCTTTTAGTGCCAAATCTCTCTGCTGTGTTGCTGGAATACCATGAGCATACCAAATCAAATTAGTAAATAAGAAATGGGGTAGGGGTTGGCCTATGACTTCTAACTTTTGTCAAAACATCACATGCAGACATTCTGTTGATTCCAAGTAATCTTTTACACTGGTCAAAAAGACAAAGTTCAGATCATCTTCTAACAGAAAGTTTGTTTTGGAGTTAGTGGTTCAAAGAGTGTTTTCAGAGCTGATAAGTCCACTATTTGCCCTTTTTTTTTTTTTTTTGGTAAAATAATGGTCCTTAAATAAGAAATTAACTTACACTATAATGTAAACACAAACTCTTCAACCAAAATTTCCATAAACATTGCACTCAACAGCACAGCAAAAAGGGAAAAAATACTGGATAAAGGCACATGTTTGGATTGTATGAAAGCTTCACCCTTTATTGTTTTGTTAATACTGTGATCCCACTGAAACATAACAACCCAAATGATTATACGGAATGATTAGGTTATGTAAATAATTACCATTTTAGGGAGGTTGGGAGAAATCAGATTGTGTAAAAAATGTGTGCTGATTTTCTATAAGCCTGAGAACTTCTCAGTACAAGGGTTGGAATAATATAGGAAGGCCAAAAAAATAAACACCTCAATTTGACAGATCTGGGAGATTTGCCCTTTACTATAAAGAGCTCTTGGGGTTTATTCCCACTTGCACTGGTGCAGGCCAGTCTTGAGCCTTAAAGGTGACACCTTTTCTAATTGCTATGAAATGTTAGTTGCTTGGATGGCGCCAGCTGAAACTGGAGCCAGTGACCTTTCACCAAAGGGCACAATGCAGCCTCTGAGGAGGGCAGTGGGTAAAAGTGCTGTGGGGGCTGATAGCAGACCCTGTGACAAATCCACCTTCCAGCTCTGCACTGACAGGAGGGAGAACTCTGGAAAGGGGGATATGGAAGGAGATTGCTAAGTAGTTTTCCCACTGGTGGCTAGATAGAGATGTTTTTCAAATATGGGCTTACATATTACTGATTAGAAGATAAACCCATCTCACAATGGATAAATTGCTAAGTATGAAATGTCAGCCCACAGGCAAAACCAAACCACTGAGTACTGACCCAGCAAGCATGGACAGTATTGACTTTCCTCCTGTAACCTTTACATGCTGTCAGAAGGGTGTATTAAAAATAGATATATGCAGTCCAGGATTCCTGTAAAGATTGAGGGCAGAATACAGACAAGGAATTATGGTAAGTAGGCAAAAATCACTGCTGTGGATTCTGTCTGCGTCATGACAACAGACCACCGAGGCACTGTAGTCCAAACTGACTACTGCCAGCACTCTCACAGTCTTTTAAGGGCTCAGGTCCCTAAAAGTTGTCCCCACTAGCAAAGCCTCATTAGAATTGACATTTTCAGTAGAAACTAGGCCATTCATTCCTTGACCGAAACATCCTGTCCCATCAGTTTGGAGAACAGATGCATGTGTACAACTGTCTAAGGTTTGCCCGTATGACTCCAAATGCCCCAGCATGACATGTCAGAACGAGGGTCCTCAGAGTTTTTTCTGTCTGAGCCCTCACAGAGTATGCCCTTGCACCCTGGATTTCAGCTTCCCCATACCTCTCTCTTGTTTCACAAGAAGAGCCACGCTCAGTCAGGCCATCTGCACTGATACAGGCAGGTTTGTAGCTCATGGCACCCCTAGACAGGACCTCCCAGACCACGAACTGAGTCAACGTACGGTGGCAGTTCACCCACAGAAACACCCACGTGATCCTTACTTTGAGTTTGGTGAAGGCAAGTGAGAAATATCAAAGATTTGCTGATTTTAATAGACTCGAAAACTGTATCCACACAGTGCTGGACAGCCCATCCAGCTCCCAAGCACTAGTGTGCTCTCACCAGCAGCATGCTCTGAGTGAGCATATTAAATGTCAGTATGCTTTGGGGGGATCTTTGCACCTCCCAAAATAACACAAAGAACATCTGGTGGAGGTTGCTAGCAATACAAAAGTTCATGTTTTCATCAAGTAAGGAGGTTAATTTTTGGCAAAGATAGTCAGATAGTCATCACAGAAGAATCTGTGTATGTACGAGCTGCTACACATACTCTTTATCCCATTACCACCCCTCCACACTAACATGTCATTTTCTATCCTTGTGTAACCGGATCTGATAGAGTCTAACATCATGTGTCAGAATTAACATACACTGCTGCCCATGTTTCACAGACATTAATTCTCCATCAGAGTAACCCCAGACTGAAGTTCAGTGAGCAACTGCTGCAGTGCAGACACTGGTCTAGGAAAGGTCACTCACTGTAAGAGGCTGCTGAGTCTTCTTCCCGGGACTTTTAAAAGAGAACAGAGTTAGCTGTATTCTGATAGTCTGTAACTTGTCTGAGAAAGGTGAGATTCTTTCCCCTAGATATTGAATGCACCACAGTATTTCCTTGCAGCACATGTGGCTCTTCTGTAATCACAAATGATAAATGAAAAAGAAAACATATTTTTCCATTGCTTTAATTTTAATGCTTCCTTTTATGCAATCTTTTAAAGCCTTTCATTGCACAATGCAGTTGCACAAGATTTCACTTTAAAAAAATCTTATGAAAATATGGCTCATTTGCTCTTTTGCTACAGAAGTCAGACAGCTCAATCTCACAGTACTGCAGCGTATTCTTTGGTTCAGCTGTAAGACATTTTATCCCCTGTGCACCGTGAATTCACCAAGCTTTGTTTACTTAGCTGAATGTTTCTTGACTATCTCAAGGTACTCCTTCACATCATCAGGAGACCCCAAGACAACAGGCACTCTTTGGTGGATATCCTCAGGCACTATATCTAGTACAGCTTGATGACCAGTTGTAGCTATGCCCCCAGCCTTCTCAATAACAAAAGCCATAGGATTGCATTCGTAGAGCAGTCTCAGCTAGAAGACAAAAAGTCAAAATTGCAGAAATCAGGCCAGGCAGTGCCAAAAAACATGACTTGCAAATATATTTGGCATTTGATTTTAAACCAATCAATATTCTACGTACTCTTTATTGCATATAAACATTGATGCAACAATGAAATTGTGGGGATTTTCCTTTCGAAAACACACTGAATGCTGGATTTTCCCCAATCTGAGTGCTTTCACCATAGCCCATGTTGGCATTGTGCTATCTACAGAGAGATAAAGCTTGTATGTCAAGACACAACTGTTAATGAGGCAGACCCACATAGAACTGTGTGAAAAAAAAAACATGAGCCCTGAGCTTGCTACTAGGTTTCTCCAATGAATAACTGTATCTTATCAGCAACCTGAGGCAATTTTTTACGGAGAATTACGAAACAGATCAAAGGTCTTTGCTGAATAAACAGTCCCCTTGTCAGCCTGTAAATGCGTGATCTTCCCTGACTGACCATCGTCCTGGCAGATGCAGCCAGGCACAGTTCCTCCAGATGACGTCCACACACAAGATGCAGATGGTTTTCTCTTCTCCCAGTGGGTCAACTACATTTAGGCTTCTTACAAACTACCTTGTGCTAGAAATCTCAGGGTAATGTGGATTCTTTGCTTTGTAATGTTCTACTCAGCTCGGACCAGAACCACCAGTTTTAGCTGATATGGTGCAGGGGAGCCTGTATGAGCAGCCCACCCCTGGTATGTTCCAGTGGATATGTTTGCAGGCAAAGAAAGAGAAGTCACTGCAGTTGAAACGGGTGAGTAGCAGCCCTAGAATAGGTGTCTGACAACAGGCTGCTGCCCCTTGTGACAGCGTGCAAGGGATGGCCATAGCCCCCCACACAAGAAATACAAGCTACCAAGTTACAGACCACAGGCTCTATAATCAAAATATTGATCTTGATAGTGAAATGCCTAGATAATGAAATATTTTCTATAACTGGGCTTATTCAGGCTTACCTTTCCTTTGGGACTTTTGGAGTTAGCAGGATACAGAAAGATTCCTCCATACACCAGTGTGCGATGCACATCTGCCACCATAGATCCTACGTACCTCCCACCATATGGTGAACTGCCATCCTACAGAAAAACATTCCAATAAAAGTAACTGGACAGCACACCAGGTCAACCTCCCCCGCATGCCCCTTTGGCAGTCCTAACATCTTTCATCTCCATGTCATGCTTCATTGATAATACTCAAAGTAGTTTTGCAGAGTATATTAGTATCCTCTTCATTTCCTAACTAGGAAAATCCAAGGAAAAGGAGTGACAGAAGACTTCAGCATAGATAAGCAGTAGTACCAAAACCAGAAAATGTATCCCAACTCTCCACTGGCTCTAACACTTGGAAAACACTGCTTTTCCAGTAGCAAAAACTCAAGTGCTAGGAATTTATACTGGGGCCTTGTCTTTTCTAGCAGAAAAATAATCAAAGAGCAAAAGAAGTGATCTTTCCTACTTCTTCCAACCATTTTTGCCAGCTTCTGCAATTTTTTGTTAAGAAAAAGTTAATAGTTGACTTCTGATGTTACTTCCTTATTCTGCTCCCTGGACTACATTTTAACATCTACATAAACAACAGCTTAAGCCTGGAAAGATTAATGATGAAAACATCAATCCTCTTTCAAAGCAAGATCAGGAAGTCAGGAAGGGACACCAACACCTGACAAGAGTAGGTGTTCACATGTCATTGCCAGTGTAATAACTTCAGTGGTGAAATGTGCCTTCATGGGCATTCCTTGGAGCTTTGGGCCTCCTGACACCACGAAGTAGCACAAACACAAAGCAGGCCTCGAAACTACACTAGATTTTCAAAAGAGAGGCTCTCTGAGGACACAGCTCGTGTTACCAGTGCGCAATCACCCACTGCCATCTCCATGCTGCTCTCCAATCACTCAGATGTTGCAGTGAGGAAGCAGCAATGCAACACGTGTTGATCAAATTTCTTCATCACCAGACAAGATTTCCTCTCTACTTGATTACCAAATGCCCAGTTTTGCCTCCAGCACCATTATTCAGATCCTCATTCAGGAAAAAAGATTTGAAAAAAGATTCAAACAAAGAAAAAAAGGAAGAAAATAAAAAAATGCAAAAGAGGCGCAGTGCAGTATTGGAGAATGCTGAAATATCTGGTTATATCAACCTGTTGCTCGCATTGGCAATCATACATCAAGTTATATTTTAAATAGATAGGAAAGGAAAACAAGCTCTGAACAGTTCATGAGAGAATGAATGATTGATGAGGTGGAAATCATTAATGGTGTTTGTCATCAGAGAGTTTCTTTGAAACAGGATCTTTTACCTCAGGGAATTTCTTCTTTTTGAGATACTCTGTGATGGCAGGATCAAAATATTTAGCATAGCCTTCATTGAGACTGTAGATATTTCCCTTCTTTTTGATCTTCACATCTCTTTCCACCAAAATAAATTCACCAATTGCCTATCAATAAGAAAGAAAAATATTTGTTAACATTAATTGCTCACTTATTTGCAAACCAAGGCAAAATCCAATAACATGCACAATTTAATAAAAACTTACTACCACTGTCAATTTTTTAAATAATTCAGTAACTGCAAAAAAAGTAGTCTTTGCAGTCTACATGCAAGGTATTTTGTTTATACAGAAAACACAGACAGAACATGAATCCTGTCATCATACAAGCTTCCTCATACTACCATTCCAAGCATTCTCTATTTTCTATGCCCAAAAAATGCTACTTGTAAATTTCTTTATCTCTCCATTATTTTGCTAGACTTAGAACAATATAAGTAGTTTCAGAAATCCTGGGAGTTTGGAAACTGAGAGTGCTGGCTGAACCATGCATAAACATCTTCAAATTGCTGCAGATACTCCAGTTCTTTTTTGCTTGGGCCAACAGGAAGTGTGTGACCAAGGGCTGGTCTGTTTAGTTTTCTCTAAAGTAATTTTCCAAGTTAGTGCTAAGAGCAAACGAAATAACATTCATGCATACTCAAAGTCAGATCTGTTACTTGAATAAAGTCAAAACCACATGCATCTATTTAAGCTGCTGCTAAACAGAGAGTACAAAGTTATATTTCCTGCCGCTTGATCACTGCAGGTCATAAAAATTTAAGACTGGCAGGTGGCACCCTGACTGATCACAAAGAAACAGGCCTCTAAAGCAAACTACTTTCTGCTGTGATCAACATGACTTTTGTTTTAAAACTCACGGCAAATGCATGCTAGAAGGTCATATCATCCATACACATCACTTACTCTTTTACATATCATGGTGGGATCTCAAAATACAGAAAGATGGTTAAATATTTATGCTCCTCTGGTTTACTAAGGTCCTAGCATTAAGGAAAAGACAAATAAGACTTAAAGGGTATTTTGTACTGCAGAAAACTGCTTATTTTAAATATCACATGATTGCACATGCTGTGTATTTGCTCTGCTGGCTCGGCTGTCTTCCTGTTGTTCAGTCACACATGGCATCTCTGCATCAGGCAGGTGGAATGCAAGTCTCTTGACTTTATTGCTGGTGGGTTATAAGTACAAGTACATTTGTACTCCATTTATTCATGCTACCTTGAAAACTGCTCCTTTGATTGATTTTCCTGGGGACAGACAGTTCTCATAGACAGTACCTGTCAATCACTAACACAGAAACAAAGAAAGAGAAGATATTCTCACCGGATCCAGCATGAAACAGTTGACACCTCCAGCAGAAGTTGCCAGCACCAGCATGGTGGCACTCCCATAGAGTGCATAGCCAGCTGCCACGAGATTGCGTCCAGGCTGCAAAGCATCTTTCCCAGAAGGTTCATCAGGAGACACCTAGAACAAGAAAGAGTATGGTCAATTTTACTTCATTTCTACTCCTGGTGCATGACAGGACTCTGGGATAGGGACAGTCTTCTGCTCTATATCCATGCCATGTGGTGGCACAATTGTTTCCATGATCCTCAACTAAGATTCCTACTGGATGCACTAATACAAATTATACATAGGATACAAACACATCGATCTAGCAGTGCACTTCTAACTAAGCCTAGCAGGAATGCAGGAAGCAGGAAAGGATTAAGGAGATAATAAAGAGCTATGCACCTCCTTGTAGGTGATGATGAACACAGCTCAGAGGAAAACTCAGAGGCACAGTTGAAAAGAAATGAAACATGACTCACGGAGTTCAAAATTGATCAAAAGTACTTGGGATTTTTTTTATTTTCTTTTGCTTCACACAAAAATGAATTTGAAAATAGCTACTTTGGGATATATGACAACATACAAAAGATGACTAAAATGGACAGTTGGGTGTGTTTTATCTGATTTGCTTTTTCCCCCATGTTGTGACCTGTAAGTCTGGTATTTCAACCTCCTTCAGACTGCATTTCTGCCTTTCAGAGTGAATTAGACACTTCAAATGCATATGACATGTTTCAGCTCTGGTTTGTTTTTGAAGCCTGTCCTCAGGCCAACAGAACTATTAGCACAGAGAACAAGAAAACCTGAAAGCACACTCCCCAAGTAGATGACAACCACGTGATATTTTGCCTCAACACAAATATTCATGAAACTTAAGACATGATCTTTTCCAAGGGGTAATTTCATTAGCTGGCTAATTAAATATTAGCTAGGCTTCCATGTACACATAGGTTCTTCTTCTTCTAAGAGACTAATTCAAATTCAAATTCATGTGTCTGTGAAATACTAGATCTAACTTAATGCTGGCCCTGAGTCTCTTTCGCAAACAAGTTTAGTTAGATTTTATTGTCTTCCCATGTAATTTTATTTCAACAAAAGCTGCACAATAATAGTTTTTCCTATCCTACATGAAAGAATTTTACCTTTCTATAAATTGCAAAGATGGTCCCAATGGAAACAAGACAGTCAATGTTCGACGAACCATCTAGAGGGTCTATGCAGACTATGTATTTACCCTAAAAAACACAAAAAAGAGAACTAGATTAGTGACAGCATTTATCCACTTCCTCCAAATAAAAACATTTCAGTAGGTAAATTTTCTCAGAGACTTACACAGCAATATAAGCTAAAACACCTTTATCGATTATCAAGGAACCAAATTCAAACGTCAGCAATTCTTTGGCCCAGATTTCAGCCCTTAATTACAACCGTGATTTGTGCCAAACCAGAGAAGAAGCTAAGAAATCTTTAAAGTACATTGCAGATGATAATACAGGAAAAGTGAAGTTTCCTCATACACTTTTTAATGTGAGGAAAAAAAGGGAATTACAGAGATGAAACTAAACTATTGGTTTAGTTTCATCTCTGTAATTGAAGTCAATCCTCTCACATCCACCATCTAGGCTAGGCTGCACTTTCTCTTTGGTTACAACATGTCTTTCTGAATAGTAAGGAGAAAAAACAAAATGAAGATCAGCCTTTTTCATGTAGAGCTAAAAACCATATTTTACCTCTATCTATAGAGGTACTAAAAAGGTCTTTAATGGCTGCCATGCCTAAACAATAAATTTTCCTTTATCTGTGCTCTGAAATGGCCAGGTACTACTTTAGACAGACTGATCTTACCCTGGGTTTTGGGGGATCAAAAAGAAATCTCTACCTTATTGCTGGATTAAGGAATCCAGTAGCATTCTTTAATATAGGAAATTGACAGTACAGGGGAAAAGCTGAACTAACTGTACCTTTTAAATATTTTGTTCTCCCATCATTTTATTCATAGTTGTCTTAATAATAGTATGTAACAACAGTGTTCATTTGTTTTTCATTGGATTTTATCCTGTATGTCAGAAATTTAAATTTAAGTTCAGCAATGCTCTACTCTGCAAGTAGGAATTCCTGGTATGCATTGATAAAAACAGTGTATTGGCTCACATTTAGTTTAGAAAAGCATTAATACTTAGACTCCCTCAGTGATCTTTGAGAATATTTGTTCAGATCTAAGGAAATCCAATGCCGAGAAAATAAATTTTGAAGATTTCTTAACAGGGAGAGAAAGAACTGCTTAAACAAAGCAAGCCTAAGTATATTTCATAAATTATGTTTTTGCTGATTGTTTTGACTAAACTTTTACTCAGGTTTTTTCATGATCAGAATATTAGCTGGGAAATAGGAACTATCCCACAACAAGCGCATGCAGGCTTGTGAATATAAAGAATAATAAATGTAAAAAATGCTCTTTTTTCATTGTTGATGAGTCTTTCACAGCCTTCAAGGAGAATTTTCATCAATTAAAGACCTCGAGATTTGACCTGCAGAGAACAGCTCATCAGTGTCCCACTTCAAAAGGGCTTGACTGACTCAGAGCATAGTTCCAGAGATCAGATGGGGATGAATGAAATGCTTTCCCCACAATAAGAAAAAGGTGGAAGAAAAAGAAGGTGGGGAGGAGCAACACCTAAAAAATAAATAAAACCAATAAACTACAGTCTGGAGAGCAGAAATGACAGAAAGAACAATGTTGACTAACACTCTCTCCACTCATCACCTCCACCTTCATTTCCCAGTTTAGGAAAGTACCTGTTTTCGGAAACTTTTAGTTCAGTTTTACCTCTTTAGATGTGGAGCAGTACACCTGTACAGGCCGATCTGAAATCAAGCAGGGAGAACTTTTAAAGTTACTAACCTGTTTTTCAGTTTCCACTATCACAGCATCTTTGTTTTCTTCGGACACGATAACACATGTACTGAAGGATGACTTGAGCATGTTAATCACCAGGTCATTGGAAAGAATATCCAGCTTTTTTACTTGATCTCCAGTCACATTGGTAGACCCAGCAATTCCATAGCTAGAGCGATTGCAAGAGAGAGCATTTCATGAGAACGGAGCACTGCATCTTCTAAAGGGCTCTGTTTGTTACACCTGTAAAACCTCCTGTAAACATCCTGCATTTTCAAATGACACGGCAGCTCTCTAAACCTCTTTTATATTTACTGGCCAGTGAATTCTTGCTGAGACATGTTATCATTAGCTGTGTTTGCATATCTAGAAGTTGCTAAGAAATACAAAACAAGGAATTGCATTTCAACAGTTTGTAAACTATAGTTAAACACAGCCAGACCAGGCTGTGAAGGCTGAGTTACAACTGTGCTTTTAAATGAGCGCTTAAGACCTACGTATTATTCCTGAATTCTAGGCTCTGCATACCCTAAAAACTAGGAATTCATTTGAATATTTTATATTTTAAAAGCATACGTATACTTTAAAAATATGAATATATATATGTGAATCTGACCACACTAGTTATGCTATATCCTCTGTATGCAATATACTCCTGATGAGCAATATGACGTGGAAATTGCAGCAGAAAAAGTCTGCTCACATATAAATCAACCTATTAATGATTTAATGTTTTCAGTTTTGATTTGAAGTAGTAAATGTCTCCTTGGGAAAAGAACCAAGAAATACAAATAAGAAATGCAAATAAAATGCTGCAAGCTAATCAGAATCAAACCATCTGGCATACGGAAATATCAGGAGACCTTATGATAGGTGATTACAGAGAAAGGGGAAATTAAGCTCTTTGAAGGGGAAAACAATAGCCAGCTCAGCACACATTCAGATGACTCTTAGGTCTTTCAGCTACAGTTCATTGATTAGGCTGAACACTGGTATTTCAGGTTTTATGTATTAACACTGAACACATTACTTTAGCAATGCCTTTCTTCACTTTTATGCATGAGACAAAGACCTGGCATAACTCTATGTCTTTCTCTACCTCTTTTACAGTGACCTGAATATTTTTCTGCCACTGTGAAAGTGCTTTTAGAAAAGAAGTACTTGGAACATTGTGCTTATGAGTGGAGGCACAGCAGCAGAACAGCTTCTGTACCTCATCTTTTGGGGAATCCTGAGAGGAGGAGATGTATCAGGTGTGGAACCTGCAGCTGGGAAGGGTTTGCATGTCTTCCACAGCTATTCTGCACCTCCCATGCTGAGCAGCACTAAGCACATAGTTGAGTCTGAGGATGCTCCAAAGAAATGGATTGCAGTGATTCCTACTTGCTCACGTTCCCTGACAGCAAAGCAAAATCTCACCACTGCTTATAAAATGCAGTTCTACAGCAGGAGATGTACTGTTCATGGAGGCTTATGAGTCCAAAGCCTGTTACCCCAGCATTGATGGAGAGTGGAACCCACTGTGCAGGGGATCATAAGGCAAGTCTATGTGCACAGATACCAAACCCGTGGGCAGCTGCCAACAGACACACATGTAAGACACTAAAGGAATAGGGCCCTAAGCTTACAAATCAGATTAAGAGCTGGGACACCCTGGTCTCTATTGATAGATACAAGAGGCATATAAAAGGACTAGCACATCACAATTAAAAATTACCACAGTTACATGCAGTCTGAAGTCAAAACAGAAAAATAGCTCAAACATACATAAGGAGTATTTTTGTCTTTTTTCTTAATATATTTTCCTCTGAATAGCTTGTAGAGGCAAGTTCATTTTCTCTTTACAACATTTTCCATTAAGTAATGAAGTAGTCGATGTCTAAAGCCTTGACCAGCACACAACGGGGCATATGAAGATACTTAGTAATTTACTTAGTAAGTAAAATACTTATGAGGAGTAGCTACCTACAAGTAGTTTCAGGCATTTCACATTTCAAGAGTTCCAAATTCCTTCTGATGCATCTCCAGAACAACATCCTTCTCACTGGCTGATTACAGACACTACCGTTCCTAACCAGTGCACTTTCTAAAAGCCTTAGATATCTAAAATTTCATAAAGAAAGTCTAGTTACTATGATGCACTATGGAAAAAACCACTCTGAATTTGATTTGACACCTCAAAGGATAAAATGATGCTTTGTTATTAAGCAATATTCAATGAGCAATAATTCAGCCTTATTTTGCTAGGCTTTGTCTTTCAGTATATTTGGTCTCATGGCTTCAGGCACCTGCACCTACTGAAAGTATTAACTAAGTTCTAATATCAGCAGGCATTTCTCAAAGACTGGGCATCTTACACTGTTGAAAAGTCAAAGAACCTGTGTCACTTGAAAAAAATCAAGAAACCAAGATACTAAAGGAGTTACCTCCACCTCTGTGCGAGAGGATGGGTTGACGCAACCCTACTGACAGACTTTTCTGGTCAAAGAAATACCCATTCCCATCCTCATCCCGATATCCACCACCCCGGAGGCAGCAGGATGCCCTGGACCCACGGGGATGCGGAAAGGCTGGGGGCGCATCCCGGGACTCACAGGTTGGCAATGCCCGCTTTGCGGACAGCGGTGGAGATGGCTTTGATGGCCGTGCAGAGCGAGTTGAGGAGCTGCGTGAACTCCCCGGTGCCCTTCGCCCGCCTGCCCTCCTCCATCACGAAGCGGGTCATGGTGATGACATTGGTGTCGAAGGTGGAGCGGTCCGTCATGGTGGCGGCGGTGCGAGTGCGGCCGCGGCCGCCGGCACCGCCACTTGCCTCCGCGGGGCGGGGCGGGCCGGGCCGGGGCGGGACGGGACAGGCCGGCCCCGCCACTGCCGGGGCTGACCGTGAGCAAAGCGATCCCACCCCTCCCTCCCACCGACACCCTGAAATATCCGCCCTGGGGAATCCCCGCCGCCGCACCCTTTTTTTTTTTTTTTTTTTTTTTTTTTTTTTTTTTTTTTTTACTAGATCTTGTCTCATACATTGTGCGGGGAGAAGCGAGGGGGATGCTCGGGGCACTCGTTATGTGAAGTCACGGCAAGGAGTCGATGGAGACACGGGTGCTGGTTGTTCTGTTCTAGTGGTCGCACTTCAACGCTAACGGTCCTGAAATTGTGCCCCAAAATTCATAAGTCAGCTTGGTTTCACCACTTGATTGCAACACTCTGTGTGTGTGATTGTAGATTATAGCGAACTGCACACAGCCTACAGAGCAAGGTCAGTATCTTCTGCTGCATAGGAATGCTCTCATCCTGACTCTTCAGTACAGGAAAACCACATATTCAGTAACCGATTCCATCAAGCATTAACTTACTCAGTTTACAGAGGTCATGTTAACCCCACCTGTCCCAGCCTTTTCCAACACCATAAAAAAGCTGCAAGGAAAAAGCCCCTGGCAGCTGGACCCAATGAGACTTGTATAAAAAACTCTCCAAACCTGTTCAATAGAAAGACATAGGCTGAGTCCCACTTCAAAAGCTAGAAGTTAAAGCACCACAAATACTGCTGCAAGAGAATCGAGATCCTCCCGAATCGCATTTCTTTTGGCTCTAGCCTTTCTGATTTTGCAGCAAAATAAAGCAATATGTTTTGCTGCTTATGTTTGATCAGAAAAATCTAAGCAGTAGTAAAGGAAACCAGGTTTGTCTAACACCTGACCCTAGATACACCCTTTTACATGATAATTTAAAAAACAGAAACCTGAATACAAGTGTACTACTCAGATTTTTTTCTACTAGCTATTATTTTATATTCATATTATCTAAGAAGATGAATATTAAAAAATATTTTTCAATAGAATGCATTTATGAGTTGAATAAGCACAGTCTCAAATTTTAAGTTGAAACCACAAATTGAAATAATTCCAAATGGTGTCAAACACAGGGCAAAAGTCTTTTACAAGATGCAGATCTTTGCATATATGTACATTCTATCTTCTTGCAAAGTACATTGCGTATCTACGCATTAAATACTTGGAAGGCATGCATAAATGTCTTCTCCTAAAAGTGTAAACAACTTTGGCCTAATTTGCCCATGCCCAGTATTACAGACACTCCTGAAGATATTAGACATGAGTGGTAGTGCTCTTCTGAACAAGATATTTTAGTCTTTGGCAAGTGGTCAACAGCCCAGTATCATAAAAATTTTCTTTTAGAGGCAGGTGGGTTTGGGAAAATTTACAAAACATGGAAGTTAGCTCATTCTTTAAGGGTAAGCAATGTTTTACAACAATCTAGAGCAGCTATTGCAATCTCAGTAGTAGAGAACAGCAAATAGCAAAGACCCAATAAAATTTTGGATGAGTGCACTGAAACTGGGTAGTCGCAAGGAGGCAGAACAGCCTGGGGATATATGACTTACAGTAGCAAACCACCAAGTCTCTGATTAGGGACAATTTGTCTTAAATGTGGAGGCTCTAACAAGCACAACAGTAATCTGCAGAAAGAGCTGTACTTCAGTAAAAAATAGTCAAGATCAGTTCAAAATATACCTAAGGTTTTGGTATCTATGCCTGAGGATAACTAACATTTTCTATCTTACAGTTAAGATATACTGTCCTTGAGTTAATGATGAGATTTTATCTCTGAACTTCTGAGAGGAGTGGGAGATGAGTTTTACTCCTCCATTCCCACTATGGAAGACAGGTAGAAAGAAGTATTGTGAACTGAAATTGCAATAATTTGAAAGGTTAGTGGTTTCAAATCTGCATTTTCTATTGTGGAGAAGGAGAATTATTTTCAGTGTATTTAGCATGTCCTTAATCTTCTGTATTTGAGGCAACTCAATAGAAGATTGAGACTAATCCTCCTCCACACTCCTGGCCTTAGAATGTATGCATACATTGGCCATTTCTGGGATAGTATAGTTTCACTCTTAGTATAGAAAGCTGATATAACATTAATTATTTAATATCAAATGGTGGAGGGTAGATAAGCCATGTAGTCCTAGAGAAATCATGCTGTTTGGTAACTATAAAATTAAGATTAAAAGATTAAAAAGTAGGCTTTACATGTTGTGAACCTTTGGCTTTAGAAATCAGTAGTTAAACATTTATTGAAAATGAATCTGTGGATTTGAGAAGGTCAGTTAGTACTGGTTGATTAAACATTGCTGAAACAGCTCACTTCTATACAGAAGAAAACAGGGACTTGTTTGCGCACAGATGACGTCAAGTAGACATGGTTCACAGCAGCTTTAGAACTCTAGATTACAAATCCAGGTAACTACTTTGAAACAAACTTTTCTCCCAGCACATAGAATCCCAATTGCATAATTATCTTGGAAATAGGACAAACACTGATGAGAAATCCTCCGTTATAAAGGTTGCCTCTTGTAGGTTCAAATGCCAGACAAAAAGACAATTGGAGTGAAACCCCTTCACAAAGGACATTTTTTTCCCCTGAAGTAAGAGTGTCATGTGGGAAAACCAGCTTTAGATTCCACCTTTGCTGAAGAAGAACTTTCTTTGTGCAGGAGTGTCACAACTGCAGAAGTTTTGTGCTGGTTGGGTGGACAGAAGGTAAGATCAGGCAAGTTACATGGAGGTGATTTGCAAGGCAATGCCACTCCACCAGTGCAGATGCACTCTGCCGTGTGATGCCATGATGATTAGGGCTGGAGCAGCTTCAAGGGAATAAATGAGGCAGATCCTGCCTGCTGCAAGAGATGGTGAAAGGTGAAGGTGAAAAGGGCACATATGAAGATTTCTAGATGTACAATCAATGTTTTGCCTTGTTTCTTTCAGAAAGTGCTTAATTTTGCCTATGTAAATTTCCTGTGTGAGAAAGGGTCCACACATAGTCAATAGACTGGAACATTGATTTACAGCTGTGATAGCAAAGTGACCTCTCTGGACACAGGTGAAATATAACAAGTGTCATAAACTGATGTTTAAACATAGGTAATTGCGAGTACAAATTGGCTAAAAGGTAATTTCTCTGTGTAGTAGATGTAAAAGGGGCTTCATTTGATATTATGCATTATAGTACTATAAGTGATTAAGAAGTAGAGATTAACTATAAGGTTGATGTTAATGAATGTGAAGGGATTTTCCTGTGCCTGGTGCCCTCTTGTGGGAACACTGTCAGCATTTCAGCATGAGACCAGCTCATGTGAGAGTACCTTTGCAGTATTCTGGAAGGGGACAAAGCACTTAATGTGCAGGCAGTAGGTCCTGGAAATAAAGTCTATATGCCTCTGAAATACAGATATTGAACCATAAGTTTTAAATCTCTCTATTTTTTAGTTATTCACAACAAGATTCTACCAGGCAAGTAAAATTAAAACAAGATATCGAATATAAGTTATTGCATTTGCTATGACTTCTCATCTTATAAAATGTATGAACTAAAAGTATTTTAAGTAATCACACCAACTCTATGTAAAGAAAAAATAAATTTAACTCCCCCCAAAAAACCAACAACAACAAAACAAAACAAAACACAAACAAACAAAAACAACAACAAAAAAAATCAACCAAAAAACCCCCCCAAAAAACAGAAAAAAACCCAAAACCACAGTTAAAACCAGATAGAGACCTCAGTGCTGAGAGATGAGACTTCAAAACTAAGCTAAGAAGGTAATTAAAGTGGAGTTACAATTGTATAGCTATAACAGTTCCCTTTGTGGAAATAAATAACTTCTGTCAATACTGAATGATATGTCATGATTACATGACACAGTTTTTCAATCAATCACCTAGAAAAACAAAAAATATTTGTTTAAAATTTAAGCTGTAAACCTGCAAAAATACTTCCATTCAAGGTGGATGGAGGAAAACCACTTCATATAAATGGTCAAACTCCATTCTCAAACCCTACTCATAGGTTAGATTGCTTGGAGACACATTTTCCATTAATGTCCATGCAGATTTATTTGCTGTGTTAAATAAATATTTATATTGTAGTATTTCCAAGTATAAGCTATCTAGATTTTTCAGATCCTGTTCTTCTGGAAGCATTACATGGACAGTGTTACAGAGGTTCAGAGGTCCAACTCATCATTTTTTAGCGCTGGTAATTTTAACTGTACATGATTCAGTTCAGAATTTCTAGATAATGTGTTAATCAGCATAACTAAAACTGTTTTCCTACATAAAGGTCCAGAAGACTGGATGGCTTTTCCAGGTTTATTGACAGTGTGAGGAGGATCAGATCTGAACACTTCTAGTAGTGATATATATATACTATGAAGAGTGATGCAGAAATGCAACATAATATCCACAAAAAAACCCTCCTTTTGTGTAAGTGATGAAACACATGGGCAAAAAATGAATGAGTGATGGTTTAGATGGTCATTCCCTGTTCATCTCTATCATAAGTATTCTGTTCCATGCCTGAAGTACAGTCAATAAACCTATTTAAAATGACTGATAACTATTACATTTTAAAAAATCATTTTATCCATTGTTTGCATAGTTTGCCACAGCTGCTGAATTCTGAATAAGAATTAGCTAATCCTTATAATCATGTTGTGATGTAGGTAGGCTGGTAAGGAAAATCAAAGGAATAACTTTATCCTGTGCTACAGAGAAAAATTGTGATTTCATGAAAGCTGACTAGTTACTTTGGGAATTCACTCTGTTTGAGAAAGAATGATGGGAAAAGGGATTATGATGTATTTAACTCAAATATACAAGAATTGCATTTGCGTGTATTTTCTTTTGCTCTATGAACTTGATATTTCTTTGGAGATACAACTGTGAACAGTATAGAAGAAAGTGGAGA